AAAAGCTGAGAAATTAATAACTGTTCATCAAGCTGCCCATCAGCCCAGGATACAGTTGTGCTTTCCCACTTTTCCATGTTACTGTTCTTGAGTTGCCCTGTTACAGAAAGGTTGATATCAGCCACCACAAACATTAAGGAAAGAGAAATAGAATAGCAACCATTAGTAAATTCCTTTCATGTTTCTGCACTTCTGGGTTTAGTAACCTACCCCCAATTTACCTAGACAAATAAGACAGGTCTCTGTTAGAGCTGGATGGTGTCCTCCTCGGTCTCTTGGGAGGACAGCCTTTGCATGGGAGCTGCAGCCATTGGCACTGTGTCCTGTGCTCTCCCTGCAGAAGTCGAGCAGAAGTGGTAGAACTGATGAAGAAAATCTCTTTCTGAAAGCTGCTGCTGCTTCTGGAGTAAAGCTAGTATTTGTGTTCATCCTTGAAGCTGAGGACACCCTGCTATTCCTGCTCTTGAGGTTGCAGAAACCGATTTTGCTTAAAAAATGCGAGTCTTCCCTTCCCTCCTCACTCCGCCCTTAGGGTGTGGAGCAGGGAGGATTGCAAACACAGAACGGCAGAATTTTATTTTCCACAGTGAAGCTGTGAGGGCAGTTGGCAGCAGCCTTTGATTTGTGAGCTGGAAACGGTTGCAAAATCTGAATTTCAGAAACAAAAGGCCTGACTGTTTTTAGACCCAGGGCTTGCATGTGTTTCCCTCCCCTTCGACCCAAGGCAGAATGGAAGGGAGCAGGGCTTCCCCGTCTTCCCGGTAAGGACTCCCCAGGCAGCATCCTCCTCGGGCTCTGTACTGTGAATGGGGCTGGGGGGAAAGGGGGTTCCTGGATTGATGGCTTCCCTCAGGAAAGCTGCCACAGCTGAAATCTTGTGCTTTAGCTGCCTGTACAGTTGCCAGATCCATTTAGTGCATAATTCATTTTGCGCTCAGGGATACACAAAGGGTTTTTATGAATGCTAAATTATGTAAACAAGAATTTGATTCTTTCTGTCTGTTCCAGGATGGAAACATTAATAGAAGAGCCAGGGGACTTTGAAGCCAAGTACAAATGCTGTCATCTCACAAATCTTCAGGATGAAGAGCAGCTCTCGTTTAGTCAGCCTGACTCCATTATCTTGTTGGACAGCCTGGACTAGGCTTGGCCTGTGAAATCCTCTCTCACCCTCGCCCGCAGCAGCGATACAGAAACAAATGAGTCTTCCAAATCAGCAGCGTACAGACCAGCTCAGAGAAAGCACTAACGCTTTTGTGGGGGAAAGGAAAATGAACAGTTTGTTTCTTAATGTGAAGCAGAGCCCTCTCTGCTTGTAGGTTAATAAATATTTGGCAGGAATAAAACTGTAAAGCAGATGTCTAAGAAAAAAGAACCAAATGCAGGGTTGTTCCTTCCTGGGCTGTTTCTGCAGAAAAAGCTGCAGTCACGCTAACCCCGACCCTCGGCTGTATGTGAGGGCGTCTGTACACATATACATGCTGTTTTGCTGTCACCGCTGTTTCTGTTGTCCAATTCAGTCCATTGAATTTTCCAGAGCAGAGCTTTCTACTGTAAAAACTATTTAAGTAAAATAATAGTAGGGGATGAGGGGAAAAGGATGGGGTGCTGCTATTGAGAGCTCTTTGGAGAGCAGCAAGGCTTGAATCATTTGCTGTTATGGAGCCGGGCCCATGACTTGAGGCCCTTTCCCTGGAAAAGCTCACTCCAAGCAGTACCTGGAGCATGGCAGTGCCGCTCCACCAGCTTTACCCTCCTTTTGCACCTGCAGTAGATGTTCGAACACCTCAGGCCTTGTCCACCAGGTGTCTGGCTCAGCACAGGCATCTTGGAGCAACAGTACCAACCCATGGCTGCCTGCTTCGGCACAGGTTGGCTCCTGCAGCTGTGTGCAGTGAGCGCTGTGGCCATCAAACCCCTGTTTGTAGGTTCAGGGTATGTTCAAACGCACTGTAAGAGCTGTCCTGTTCCTTAGTTTCTCTTGTGGTGGGGTTGAAGGACCAGCCCAGCCCAGCCCATGCCAGGTACTGCCCAATGGTTTGGGGGGGGGTTGGTAGGTGACATATGTGTGCAAGTAGCAGAAAGCTGCAAACACTTTTATTTCTGCTGGACAAGGGACCATCCCTGCTACGCCTCCTGCATGGAGCCGGGGAAGGGGAGGAGACGGGTGGCAGCGGCACGAGGAGCCTGGCAGGCTCTGCTCCCCACAAGGCCTGGCACCCCTGGAGAAGCGGGATGCTCGGCCACTTGTGCCTGTGCGATACCTGCAAAGATGGTGACAGTGCCAAAACTGGGCATGGGACCAAAGCCGTATGCCAGCTGCCCTGCGGTGAGGGGAGAACACCGCTATTCCCACTTGATTTTCTGTCACTTCAGACCTCTGTTCCAGCTAATGATTTTCTGGGGTATGTAATGTTGGCATTATCAAAGTCTGTCATGAAATGCTAAAATCCAGGGGGATATGGATAAAAGAAAACAGAGTTGCTTGAAAGTTACTCAAAATATTTTAATGTACATGCTGTAGCCACGTTAAAGACGGGGAAAAAACATCTTACAGAGATGAAAGACGTCAAAGGATGTGATTTCATCATGCCAAAAGCTATATATTTCGAAGTGACTGAAGCCAATAGCATCAAAATAGCTCTTTTTCTGACACGTGAAAACCAGACCAAGAGGCATGGAAAAGGGAAGAACAAACATGTGTTTAACTGATAGATTAAGCTGTTCTGATCCATCAGGTAAAGGTACGTTCTTGTGCTTGTGGGGTTTTTTAACAGGTATAAATTTGGTACAAATAATACTTTAAACAGTTCTATTTGTATATACCTAGTAGGCTGGAACAGCTGTAGTACGTTGGGTAGACAGGTAGCTATTTACAGAGAATGATGACTGATGCAGAACGTGATGGTAAGTATGAAACCCCTACCAGATTCGGTGTTTGAGTAACACAATAGTGAACGTCAGCCACAGGTGAGTGCGGTGCCTGCCTGTGAGTTACAAGGTGAGAGTTGCAAGTTCAGCAGCCTGTGACTGCACCGTCTGCGCTTACAGTGGTACGCTGCAACTAGCCAACACCCGGCCCCACCTCAACCCTGCCCTCCTCGGTGCGGGAGCGAGGGCACTAGAGCCCTGCCAAAAGCAGCCTCTCTTACCTCCCCCATCTGTCTCAAGCCCTTGGAGAAAATAAGGACAAGATTCAGCTGAGGGACCAAAACTCCCAAACTCTGCTGACCACATAGAGGTCTCAGCTACTTTCCAAAGCCCTCATTATAGTCAGTGGAAATCTTGATAATAGAGGTTAAGCCCAGCCTACAGCAGATACCTAAGTCTAGTTGGCTTCTACGCTGATGATAACAGGAGTTTGGAAATGGGCCACGTGTGGACATCTACTACTGGTGGTCCCTTTGCCAGTGTTGCTGGCAAAGGCCCATTCCTTAGTCACTGTCAAATTTGTCTCTCTCACCAGGCTTAAAAATGTCAATAGGAGGGGGACAGCTGCTTACCCAGAGATGAGGGCTCACTCTGAGCAGTTGTACTCAGTTTAGCAAAGCAACTGCCTCTTTTCATTTCACTACCAGCTATTTAAACCACTCTCTTCTCAGTGGGTTTCTCACCAATTTTCCAACAGGCCGTCTATTCCCACATGATGTTAGGGCTCCTAAATCAGGGCTGAGGACAACTAAAAGGCAGAGCACTGACCATGGCAATACCCAACGTGCTGGAGGATCCAGCCCCCATGCCATAGATGCTGAACAGCCTCTGTTACTCCAAACTCTTCTTTAGTCAGTGAGGTACCCAAGGCTAAAAGTAACACAGGGAAAGCTACACAACGCAAAAATGCTTACAGAAAAAAATGAGAACTAATCTCTTCCTAGTGGGAGAATATTAGAGAAATCCCCTCAGTGGGAGGGAGAGAAGCCTGGAAAGAAACTGGAAACAGCGGGGTGGAGGAGGCTAAGAGGGGTGTGTAAGAGGCAAATCCTGAGGTTGCAGCGTGACAGAGCAAGAAACCTTCTCAGTGCCGTTCTGCCCTGAATGTCACGGCAGGCTGAGTGGACCAGACCCGTGTATTAACCTCAGAGCCAGACTGTCGGCAGAGACGACTACTCTTCAAGGAGTAGAAAAGCAACCAGCACAACTAGGCTCCTATCAGCAGGATCTGAGCAAACTGGCCTCCATTTTTCCTAACTAATGGAAACATGGTAGCGCGACAACTACTTTGGAGAAAAGCTGGCACTAAATAGCGAAAGCAGGTGAAGTAGGCATCATTAAATGAAATAAAGAGGAAGAAAACATAGGCCTAGTAGCAGGAAAGACTTTGCAACACAGGGCTTGTTCTCCCTGCCTTGCAGAAACCCTGCTGGGGGGAACCGGCTGTCTGGCCTGCCAACCCATGCAGTTTCTTAGTAGCCTCCCTCTGGGACTGCCCACTTGCTGAGAGGGAATTTACTCAAGACCCTACATATAGGACCTGCAGGCACCCGGGCCCTCTTTTCTCATCCCAGGTTTAGCGAAGCCATATTGGCACAGGTGCCTTCCACCAGTGAGCTTTTGGGGACTCCCTTCCAAGTGAGGGTTTTACCAATATGGATGGAGGGGGAGGGGAGGGAAAGGGCATCTCCCACTCTCTACCCAAGCGAAGCAGTTGCAGAGCAGCAAAGGCTGTCGCAGACCACGCCAGAAAGGACGTGAATGAGCACTGCTACTCTGTCAGCATGGTCCTTTGTGCAGAGCCCAGCTCACTAGAAAGAATCAAACTGAAGCATCCGGATGCACGGCTATTTCATACATGTGCAGGGCTGCACCGCATGGGCCAGGTACGTGCTGCTGCTAAGCTGCTGCCTAGCTGTAGTCCAAGCGCAGACGCTTCACTGGGAAAGAACGAAAATTTTTGAGAAGCCTGCATGTGCGTCCATGCATTTAATCAGCTACTAAGGTAGCACGGCAGAACATGTACCCTACAAATATTTAAGCCCTTAAAAAAAACCAGTCTCTTCTACAATGCCTTCTTAACGCAACATGCGTGGGACGAGACAATGTATCAAGACCTACATGTACCATACATGATAGACATTCTGAGCATGACTTGTAAGAAACCCACTCCCAATATAAAAAAGTACCCAAATGCCAGACCAAAATCTCCCCCTAAGAAGGTGAAAATGTTCTATTTACAAGAACATACTGCTTCAGTTAAAAATGCTAAAAACCATTCTCTTGAGTTTATATAAAAATAAACATGTCTACGTATGCACACACGTATTTACACACATTTATGGCTTTCGCATGCTTCACCCTTCTTCATTAAATGAGGAAATATATTCCATTACTGCTTTTTCTCCTCCTCAGGTTTTTCAGCCTCTGCTTCTCCAACTGATAAGGTGCCACTACCATACTTTTTCACTCGGGTTTCTACTCTGACAAGTCTCTGCTTCAGCTTTTGTTGAGATGAGGTGTATTCTGCCAAGAGCCTAGCAAACCTAGTCTGCAGTGTATCCAGAGCTGTTTCAAGTCTTACTACTTTTTCTTCCAAGTCTTTTGGGTCAGCTCCTGCTTTTGCTGCTTCCTCATCTATTAAATTGTCTTTCATCAGAATTTGTCGCCCTTTCTCTTCCAGAGCCTTTTTGGCTTCTGGATATTCTGTGAGGGCTTCCATTAAATCATCTTTAGACAAGCAGAACAAATCAGAATAACCAATACTCCTTATGTTGGCTGTCCTCCTGTTGCCAGATTTGCTCCCTTTGATGTTTAGGATGCTGATTTCACCAAAGTAACTGCCATCGCTTAGGACTACAAATTGGGTTATGCCATCATCCGCCACCACAGCCAATTTTCCCTCTTTAATAATGTACATTTCTCTCCCAATATCTCCCTTTTTGCAAATGTAGTCCCCAGGACTGAAGACCGTAGGTTTCAGTTTCAGCACCAGCTCAATGAGAAGTCCAGCTTCACAATCCTGGAATATACGCACTTTCTTCAGTGTGTCCAAATGGACATTGATGGCAATTTCAGCCTTCAACTTGTCAGGCAGATTTTTGAGAACTTCCTTCTCATCCACTGTTTTTTTGTTGGTCCAGAGGTAATCAAACCACTTAATAACCCTGGCTTCCAAATCCTTAGTCACTTTTCGGAAATGCATGTACTGTTTAATGGAATCGACCTTGGCCTGGAACTCTGCCCTGGAGGCATTCATGTTGGAAATCATGGAGCCCACGTTACCGACAATGGTAGCGAAGATCAGCACACCCACGAGGAAGTCAATGACCACAAAGAGATACTCTTCATCTTTCACTGGGGGAGGTGTTTCTCCAATGGTTGTCAGCGTGAGTGTTGACCAGTACAGACTGTAAATGTACTTTCTAGACAGGCGGCCGTACTCTGGAATGGACACATTGGGGTAGACCCAAGAGTCGGTTCCAAATCCGATCAGCTTCGAAATTGCAAAGTATATACACGCGTTCCAGTGGATGATGATAAGAATGTATAAGACAAGATTTCCAATACGGAACAGGTTTGGATAATTTGTCCTGGTTTCTGTACGGTCAAAAAACTCAAAAAGCCGAGAAATCCTCAGCAAGCGGTTAAATCGCAGTTCAGGGTAGTTCAAACCAAACTTCAAATATGCCAGGTCTGTTGGCAGAAGAGACAGCACATCCAGCCTGAACTGCATAGTTTTGGTATAATGATCTCGTAATTTCTTTTCATCCTGAACTAGCAAGCCTTGTTCAAGGAAGCCTTCAAAGAATAAAAATACATATTTTACTTATCAGAATAAAAGCGCAGTTCACAATTACCATCACAGTACTGAGTGACTTACATTTCAGATACCTGAGAACATTAAAACTTGTACTGTTATGCATACAGACATTGATACACTATGAGTTCACTTAATGAAAAATATTTAATTGCAAATTTAAATATTTCAAGAAGTTTCAAAGCTGATATATAATGATGTAGAACAATGACTCTATTATTACCACCTGTGCTCCCCACTGTTTTCCACTCTGTTCTGGGACAGCTGTATCCTTCTTTTAGGTATATCTTTGCAAAAAGAATGGGGGGATTAAAATGTCTCATTTTTCATGAATCATTGGCATGAGTCATAACTAAAGTTAAGCAACTGTTAAGCAATTGTGTATAAAATCAGAGTGGAATATTTTTAAATAAATACCAAGAATAAGTAGGTATAATGGACTGGGGTTTTTTTCGGAACAATATAGATAGCCTTGAGATAACGAAATCCATTTTTTATTCCCCTGAGCCATGCTTTTTCTCTCGTTAAAAAGATGTTAAAAGTGACAGGATTTTCCTTTTCATTCAGGGAAAATGGTTTACACTTTTTTTGCGGTTCTAGTGAGAGAGCTACTAAGCAGAATTTTGTACATTGGTATCCCTTCATTCAAAAGACTTTGGAAAGTATTGTATTTTAAGAATTATTAGAAGACATAAACTGTGGTAAGAGACCTTAAAACAAACTGCATCTGTGTAAGAGTTCTGACAGAAAGGCTGCCTGAGCAGTACAGCTGCAGTGCTGTTTTGTACCTCTGAAAGCTCAAGGCATTGAAAATATTCCAAAGGGAACAGCCTATGCACTGCAAAATACTTGCTGCAATTGCAAGTGGAAATGTCCAACTGTCTGCCCACTAGGCCAGTCAGGCGGAAAAGTCCACTGAGAGAAAAGCAAAACATTCCCTGTATATCAGGGATTATCACATTTTGCTAATCCCTTAGCAATCTACAAGCAGCAGCTTTCTCAGGGAGGCATCTGCTGAGGAAGACCAAGCAGCACATCCTTCTGCCCTACAGAGCACGGCTGTATTTCTGGAATGTGTGCATATCGGTACAGCTGCCTAGTGTATATGTGTGTATCTGTCTTCAGGTATCTGCAAACTGATGGTGACTACAAATGGAAGTGGTTCCTGTGCCACTAATGCGTTACCTCCCAGAGAACTGCTCAAAGAGCTGGTCAAATACGCCCTTATTAACAGAGTTACACAACTAAACAGAAAAGTTGGCCAGGCAGATTAATTTCTGACTCACAATTACTAAAATAACTTTGAAAACACCTTCCTACTGAAGGGAGATAAAAGCCCCTCAGCTCTTTTTTGTTCCCCTCACAGAACCGGAGTCCTATAGTAAAACCTTTTGAAAGCATCAAAACGCGGGGCATGCTAAACATGACCAGCTGCTGACAGACATGAATCTTTTCTGCTTCATAGTACACAGTCACTAAATAGGTGAAATACAGTGAAACAGGCCCTGCGGCTAGACAGTAGTGCGCCACAGCAAAGCTGCAATGGATCATGGTAGTTGTGGGACTACCTAGATCCCAGTTCAAAGCCAGTCCCTGCCCTTAGACAGCAGTGGGTCACACACTTCCAGGACCTTTGTCCCCAGGGCAGATGGACTTTGCAGACTTACAGAAGGCAGCAGGCACTAGCGGAGCCAGGAAGGGTTGTTAAGTGAGTTGACTAAGATTTCAACACCTAAAAGATGTGACTCCCATATCTGAGTACCTGAAACTGCAGCAGACACCTGCACTGAAGCATTCAGGAGATCTCGGTGGCAATTCTGCAGTTCCAATCCAGGCCTGCAAAGCCAGCCTTCTAACCATGCTTTAACAGCTGTGCAATCGTTATCAGGACAGCCCTGGAAACTTTATAACTTGCATTGCCTGTACATGCCCAATTTCTGCTCAGTCCTTTCCCATTACAATAACAGATATAACTGCAGAAGAGAAATTTAGTGGGCATGGTTAACTTTTTAACTACACAAAGAAGATGAAGGATCACCCCCACCCCCAAAAAAAAAAAAAGGTCAGTCTTTTGATTTAGGCTGCTATCTAAAATAGACTTTCCTGAAACAAGGTACTTGCTAAGTTTAAGAATTTGGCTTGCTATGAGTTGTGTGCTTCCCAAAGTGACAGCATTTTTAGCCTCTGTCTTGTAATTATGTTTATAACTTGTCACAAGCCATAATTAATGTCAAGCTGTCAGCATGATTAAAAAAAAAAAAAAAAAAGAAGAGCATGTAAAAATCAAAGATTAAAAAGAACTCTCATTTTTATAATGATCAGTGCAGTTTTGGACCCTTTCAAGGGACATTTTGGGGCTGCATCCGTACCAGTAAATAGAACAAGCAAGGAAACATTTTCTGGCCCTGAGATCAGCTAGCATGACAGCTTCTATTCTACATCAACTTATATGACAGCATGTAAGTTCTCCCAGCTCCCTCCAAAAATGAGACCATGAACAACACCCAACCTCTGCCCAGACACTGCTTGAGAGAGTGCTAGCTGGCACAGAACAAAGTGCATGCACCAAAGTATATCAAGGACTATTCTAGCAATTTGATGGTATGGATCACTATATGTCATTGCTTTGGCCTATATTATGACCTTGTTTAGTTTAAAACAGATATCCCTTTAAGGCTAGAATCTGTATCAGCTGGGCACACTCAAATATGAAATCTTCTCAGCCTGTCCGGACTACAGAAACAGGGATGGGAAGCTGAAGAGAACCACTTCACGCATGACATGGTATGGTGCTCACAAATACTTTAAGTTCACACTTCTTCAGGAAGGCAGGACCTGAGCAGAGGTGCGTGGGTTAATCCCATACTACCATCCTCCTAGGTTAACCATATACCACCACCAGGCAGTGGGAAACCCAGCCAGGACTTTGCAAAGGAAATACAGCTGGTGGCAGAGGGCCAGCGCTGCCGGTTCCAGGCAGAAGACTGCAGACTGGAGGCTGAGATGGGTGCCAGGTCTTGCACTTGATCAACTCAGTAATCACTTCTGAGCAGCATGCTAAATAACTTTGCTAAGAAAGCAGCACTTGTGGGGTATAGTTGGTTTCTTGCCCACTCCAATGAGCACAAGCAATATATCATGCACAGAGTGATCATGACATGCGAAGTGCCTTATTCTCCCTTCCCCACGCAGCCTGTAACAGTGGCTATTCAGTCAGCGTCTGACATGCCTATTAAGCACTGATAGAACTGAATTTAGAGACAAGTGAAATGCAGGTGTTGCGATGTCCAGCCTCAAAACAATCCAAGCTGGTCAGACACTTCATCTTCCCAAAGCCTCCATTGTTCGGTTCTGCTGGAGACAGGATACTATACTGGTCAGACCCCTTAGGGGAATTTCTGTTTCCAGCCTTTATATTCATGCTGTATCTGAAAACACTGTAAAACCCCAGAAAGACTCACCTGTCCTGAATTTGATAAACATGTCAAGAATATAGATGATATCAGAGCCATAATCCAAGAACAGCCACAATTTAATATGGTCAACTTGTAGCTCATCAAAGCAGGCTCTAAAGAAACAAAGATTAAAAAAAAATATTACACCAACTGCATAAGCAGAGTACTTGCAAATGTGTGTCCTAGCAGCATGTTAGTGCACATTAGTGGCACTGAAAAATTAAGGGCAGCATATCTCCATGCCTAGACATCTGCACACTAGAGCTATGTCTAAACAGACACTAGGATCTTTCAGAATTCAAAGGTGTTTAGGCCAGGAGCAAAGCTCAAACACATATATGCCACACAAGTGCACTTATGGAGTAATCACATATCCCTACAATTAAGCATGCATCAGATTTCATGGATATACATCTCCATTAAGATAATTCCCAAATAAAAGATTTGTTTCTGAGTGGCAAGCCACCCTCATCTCTCCCTGCCATCTGACACAGCCTAAGTGAACCATTTCCACAGCACTCAAACAGAGTTTGACTCAAACAGAGTTCCACATTTTACAAGGGAAAATAAATACTCGAGTAAAATCCTCCTGCCCTTCAAGTATCTTTATATGCATGATATTAATTTAAGATGACCCAACACTGCCCACACCCCTACCTTCTGTTCTCTACTGGGCGACTGGAAGACCTATCTCTAGCAGTGGTTACTGAGCCTAGAGTGGCCAAGACACATCTCTGCAGCCAGCCAGTAGGTGGCACACAGAGGCCACAGCCAGCGCTCATGAGGACGCTCATTGCAAGTTACAACAAATTGTTTTTAGACAAAAAGATAAAAAGAAACATTGGCCATCTATTTCCAGTGGTACGTATATCGTATATCCCTAAGGGTATATGAACTGTAAATCTTCTAGGTAAGCCACCCAAAAAATACAGCAGGGAGATAAGAGGATGACTTACATAGGAAACATAATGAGACCCCAAATTTGAAACTTAAAATTATTTTTAACTTAAATCCATACCTGCATACTATCATACACCAGTTATAGAACACGGGTGCTGCAATTATGGTCAGCCAGTTGTAGTAAATATTGCTTGAAGGATCTATCACAAAGATCTCTTTTTTCTTCCTGGAAAGTAAAACATGCAGATTTACACTGGAAATGTAACAAAGTGACCTGCTGGATCTCCCTCTTCTGGAGGCTGCTCATCTCATGATGAACTCACAGCTGCCTAAGAAGAGAAAGTATCCATGCAGGCAGCTCCAGATGAGATACCAAATATTAGCTTCATCCCATCTGACATGCTCTATTTATTTGCTTGACCCAGCTTTGGAAAAAGTAAGGAAGAATGGAAAGAAAAACACAGACATTCACATTGCCCAGGCTGAAAACCCTTCTGCATATGACCCCCACTGAAAAAAAGTAAAATGTTAAATGTTTCGTATTATCATTCCAGCTAGACAGCTATGGTCCACTGTTAGAGCAAGAGCCTTCCTTTGCAGAATAATTTTGATGTTTTTGCAAATCCTATTATGGAAATGACTCTATAAGCATGCATTTAAACAAGGAAACCACATATGTATTCAAATACACATTTACAAAAGTAAGACTCTGTGTGTGCACACATATAGTGTGTGACTAGAACTAAACCACGTATCATTATGTAAAAGCAAATTTCACACATTCACAGCCCTGGCTCCCTAGGCCTCACAACAATAAAAGATGCTAAATGAAGCGTACAGGCCTGGAATTTAAAGAAGACTTAAAGAACAGCATGGCTAATGGCACATGTAGAGTATGCTCAGAAGTGCCCTTCCGCAGCACGAGAAAGGTTGATATGGAATAGACAGCAATTAAGCATGTTGTATATAATCAGAGGAAATACGTATTAGCGGATTGTGAGGTCCACAGCTGCAGAAGTTATTCCAACAGTAATATGTGATAGTGTGATCTGTGAACTATATAATAGTGTGGGAAGTATGTGACCAGGTAATGCTTGCATATGTATTTGTGTGACTTTTCCTAATCTCCAAGAATGTAAATATATTAAAAGGTAATGATAATTTATTTCATATTTGTGTGTATTTCTGGCATTATCCCTGCTGTCAGCTGAATGTCCAGATAATTATGTTAGTAAAAGAAGCAGCTTAAATCTAGAAAGTATTTACTTTGCCATCTTCACAACAGGTTTTGAGCCATTTCTTCCAAAAAACTGGTCACCACCTCAAAACTGGTGACCATGAAATATGTCTTCATATGGCATATGAAAAATGTCTTCATATGACAGAGTACACTAACTTCTAGACATTAAAACATTTATTTTCCTTGCTGAAATGTTTTTAAACAATTTAGGCTACTGCAAAGCTCAGGCTCTCACTACACAGTAACTGAAGCCAGAAGAAAATCCTTAGAACAAAGGCTTTCTAATCAAACAAAACTTTGATTAAGTCAAGATCTCGAGACCAAGCATTTGGAAGAGATTCCTAACTACATGTCCTCATGCCTACATAGCACATGCCACCATATACATACATATAAACTTGCAGTATATTACTCTAACATACTCCTTAACTGTGAAGTCCACTCAAATGCATTCTCCTTTTATCTGCTATCATTGTCATTTTTAATGACTGGTAATACTAAATTGTACTATGTTTGGGTCAGCTTTGGGGGAACAAAACAAGAGCAGGATCCATTTCTGTCAAAAGCATTCAAATAATCTCATTTTGTTGCAGAAATACAGCATCTCCTAATCAGCAGAAGCAAACTTTAGTGATCACTAGTAATGAACTGCACCATATTAAGCAATTAAATATGGTAGTCAGTGCAAAAACTAAACTAGTAAATCTGTAATTTTCTACATGTAAGATTTTTGCTCTTTGTCCAAACCAGACTTTTGGTTCATCTGCTCTGAATCACTATAGACATTCTGGAACAATGAAAAGCCTGTGCAGATCTGCAAAGCAGGCTGCTGTCCTAAAATGCCCTTATAGTAAAAAAATTATCTTCAACAGCAAATCAAAGTGAGCAGAGGTAGCTGAATTCCCTTTTACTGACCTAGGAAGCTGTTTGTGACAGGTCTACACACAGGTCTTACAGATGCAACTGTTTGTTGAGCAGTTGCACCTTTCCAAAGCGGAAAGGCTAATATTCTGCAGCCTACAGAACAATAATTGTCGTGGAAGTGTTAGGATGAAATGCCATACCATGCTTTGTAGTGTAGGAGGTGTGTTACAAACACACATTCATTCTTTATACTTACTCTTCTTTTTTTTTATCATCTTTTTTGTCATCTTTTTTGTCATCTTTCTTTTCCTCTTTTTTTTCCTCTTTCTTTTCCTCCTTCTTTTCCTCTTTCTTCTCCTCTTTAACATCTTTCTTTTCTTCCTTTTTGCTGTACAACATAATGTAAGGCTTAGCAATATTACCGATATTCTAGCAGTTAAGGGAGAGGGTGGATGTTGAGGTACAGGAAACTAGACTAGACTCCAGGCACAGTAGGATAGGGATCCAACTGGTAAAAACGGTTTACAGGCTGAGGCCTCTCGAACTGACACCACCACACTATCACATCAGGTAACTAGCTGGCTGATTCTGTGCATTAGTCACCCACGCTTTCCTGACCTTTTCAGACATCAGTGCTCCAGGCTGATTTTAATTAAATGCTTCCAGTGTGTTTCATTCTTTAGAACTCAGGCATTTAAAAAGAAATTTATCAAATTATAATAGAACTTGAAATGGCTTAACAAACTGTCAACATTCTTCACATACACAAAACCTCAGTGACTGTCTGAAGCTTTAATGGTAATTAAATGAAATGAGGCTGAATTTCTTCTCACAGTTCTTTAAAACCGATATAGCTGTGATTAATTAATTACCTCTGGCTTCAACAATTGCCTTGGAGAAGAATCCCAGTCAATGTTTGAACAAAAGCAGCAAACGTAGAGAAAAGAGGTATGTCTCATTTAACTACACAGTAGTCATTTTATAAATGCTCATATTACTCAGATCAGAAAAAGTCTACACTGTGAATGGCAGTCCTGTCTATGAATGTGCTTGTTACAGGGAGAAAGAAGCACTCCAAGGGAGAAGACAACAGTCACCAATTTTAAGATAGTATCATAGAATCATACAATCATTAAGATTGGAAAAGACCTCTAAGATCATCGAGTCCAACCATCAACCCAACACTACCATGCCCACTAAACCATGTCCCTAAGCGCCTCATCTAATAGTAGTAGCTTTCACCTATCAGCAATGAGCACCTGTTCTGATTCTTACCCTTAGACATTTCCATAGTGATGCAGCACCACAATGTAATTTGGAAAAACCCAGACTCATTTGCTAAAAAATGCTGAGATCCTACACTCCTCCATGTCCACGGAAATACCTACCAAGCTGACCAACACCACTGAAATCTTTAAAATTATACACTGCAAGGAAGCATAACTGGAGGAGAAAAGAACCTTTGGGTTGACTGATCTTCTATTTATACATGCATCTCAACTCAAAGAAACAGTTCTTCATTTACCAAGGCTGATTTCTACACCGCAGTGGGAACTGCCACTCAGGTATTTATTTCTCTGCCACTGACCCCCCTGGACTTTTATGGCTTCTCTTTCAAATCTGCCCAAAAAACTCCGTCCTATTTTAAAAACATGTCAGGATTTCACTGCACGTTACTATGCATGGAGCCTGATCCAAAGGCTAATTCACAGTTGCTGTTGTTAGCATTAACATAGCTCCTCAATACTTCAAATATCTGGCATTCTTACCAGAAAGGAAGAACTACGAGTAACATAGTTTTCAAAGGGCAGGGCCACTGTACATTTGTGGATGTTGTTATGCAGGGAAAATGAGGTTGAGATAGAGAACCAATCAAAAAGTCTCAGTGGTGGTGAACTTTGGAGGGAATATTTTGACAATTCCAACTTCCTGCTACATTTTGTTTTAAAAAAGAGAAAAAACATTATTTCACACAGCATCTAATGCCAATACTTCTTTTCCTCTGACCTGAGATCTCCTACAACTCCTCTGTCAACTACAGGTATCTTTCCTAAGTGAGATTCTTCCTTTTCTGTGGCCTCTGTTCATCTCTCTATTGCGGTAACTCCCAACTTATCATACTCCCACCTACTTGTAGTCTGGCGGTGGAAGTCACTCAGAGGAAAAGGTTGGCCATAATCAAAGACTTGAAAGCACCACCTACAGTTCCCCAAGGGCGGGCACTCTTAGGTCTTTAACATAATGAAAAACCCAAAGCTTCAAAAAGACCTACATCTTTTTTTCTTTATTAGTGCTACTGAGTAAACTGGAATCCAGTAACTAATAAAACAGTTGTTTGTGCCTGTCCTCTTTCACAGCAATACAGTGGCATCCATTCTGTGTTTCCAGTACATTAAAAGGAGCATGCATCTTCAGACTTAGAAAACATGTCTTCATCAGCCCCTGTAAAAACACTGTCATAGTCTTTGAACAAGTCAAGTATTTGCATTTCTCATCTGTCAAGTACTTTGCAAATCAAGTATGTTTCAGACTGCCAGGCAGGCAGACAGACAAGTGTTGTCTTCATTTAAAAATAATGAAACATTGGAAGGATGAAAGTTTTGCCCAAGGTACATGAGTCATTGTCAGAAACAGAGTAAGAAAGCAGTATTTCCATCCTAGTCGGTCCTTTGGGCCCTGACTAGCAGGCTAGGCTCCAGGCTTTTAGCACTTTTTTTATACCAGTCTAAATAAAATTCTGCACATTTCTGTCACTGTTCACTGCACACTGATTTTCCTTTTTAATGAAAGTTATGCAAACCAAATCAAAAAGTTGCTTCAGGAGCACGAAGACCTCTTGTTCAGGTATGTGCACAAAGGTTTTGCAGCATCATTTAGAATGTACAGTTTGAGCCTGCCCGTGATGGAACCATTTGGAGAAAAAAACAAGAGTTTCCTAAAAGTATTTCTGACGTCATCAGAATCTGTCCTGATTTTTTTTAATTTTTGTTTTCATCTGGAAAGCAATGAAAAAAATTAATTATCGTCATGCATGAGAACAGAACTGCTGCTGGATGCTACAGAGTAGATATGTCCTCAGACAGCTGTGGTCTAAGACATGCAACAAACATTGGTGTTGGGTGATTCACCTTTTCAAGAGATTTCTCTTTGGTCTAACACCATGAAATATCTTGTCAAATACATAAAATAGACTCCAAAGGACAGCTTCTGTCAGAGCTTCTGTTGCAATGCAAGCCTTATTATATTGCCCATCACTCACTCTACATCTACACCAACAATATCTGCTGAACTGAAACACACATTTCAAAAAGATGGTTAGTTTTCATTTAGACTGCACACACGAGTGTTTTCTTGGTACCCTGATGAGTGTCCACTTCTCATTTGACAACCTGAAATTTTTGGGGCACTTGATTTGCAAAAAGGGACTAGTATGTTAAAAGAGGAAAGTAATTATTAGAAAATTAATACATGAATCTCATTTAAAAACTGAAGAATTAATAAATCAATTGGCAATGAAGTAAAATCAGCCAGCTGAACTAGAGGAGGTAGGGACTAAATGCTTAATCAAATTCACTCCTTGAGAGGTAAGGGTAACTTCAGACAAAAAGAAGTTCACAGGGAGCATGAAGGATGCTTTTCATACTAAGAAAACTAGATCTATCTTTATAATTAAACTATATTCTTAGGAAAGGCTTAGGAAGAGGTAAGGAGTTTATACTACAAATATAACTAGGCTGGAAAGGGAAAAAGAGAAGGAGCTAGTAGTAGGAAGGTGTTTGGAAGTTATCAGTACTCACTCTTCGTTGGTGTTGTTGCTATAGTTGACATTAAACCTGGCCAAGGGCCAGTGACTGCAGCAAGTTAAATAAAACACATTAAAGAGTGTAAAGACTATTGGTATTTCATATACATGTTTACCGACATGACGAACTGACTTACTAGCTTCTCACATATCCACTGATAAGATCAGGAAGGTCAACTTTGACTGCAGTGATAAGTCCCTTTGCATAACTATCTCAAGGCACGAGTTTCTTTTTACCAAATGTGCTTGGCATACACATTTGTGACCACATCTGATGTTTGAAGCTTGTTCTCAGGTGCATTAGTGCATGGCAACGTGCATCTCATTATTTTTAGCCCTGTACTCATTTGGCTACTGTCTTAAGCTTCCTTCAATCCTTTCAAGTCTTCTTCACAGATGCAATGTCAAGGCTTGTGGATAAGTAACAAGCATACCTACCACTGCTGCAGAACTAAACCTTCATGATAGAACTGGGAGTTACTGTCACATGGCAACAGTGTAAAACTGAGAAGGGAAGGATGGATACTCCCAAATTCGCTTCTTCTAATAGCCTTATATAGAGGTTTGTTGGCCCAGGATCAATGTTGTCCTCTAGTTACTTCGAATCTGCAGTTGCAGCTGATCCAGACGTCTGAAAAATCAGACAACAGTCTGGCTAATTCAACAAAATGTGCTTTTAAGCTGAATTTCTAAGGAGTAGATCAAGTGATGATAATAAGGCTGTGCTGGACCACAACAAATCAAGGTAACCTGTATCATGCACAGCCCTTCAACGGTTCTTGCTTTAATCTGAATTATTAGCTGAGATTTTGAGACAAATCAACTTATTACTTGCCTACCTACCAATCTTTAACTATGCAAAAAAATATGGCAGTCTATGCTTCAAAGCATAATGTGAAACAGAAAGTCAACTTTCACCTTAGGACTTCATTTTCCTCTTTTAGCTGGAGTTAAATTTAAAACACTGTATCATATATTTATAAAGTAATAATAATTCATCAAGTCAAAAGACTGTAAACACATAAAGGTTTCTCTTGCAAGCCTCTGTTGTGTTATTGGAAAAATCTTAAGATAAGACTGAAGCTGCCTTCCATACCGAAGACTGAGTATGTACTAATAAGTTAAGTCAGCAGCCAAAAGATTTTCTCATTTCTGCATCAGAAGCCTTCTGTAATGTTAGCAGCCTAACTCCTGAGTAGGTTGTTGTGGTTTAACCCAGCAGGCAGCCAAACACCACACAGCCGCTCGCTCACTCCCTGCCTCCCGCAGTGGGATGGGGGAGAGAATCGGAAAAAAAAAGTAAAATTTGTGGGTTGAGATAAAGACAGTTTAATAGAACAGAAAAGGAAGGGTTAATAATAATAATGATAATAATAATAATAATAATCATAGAATATACAACGTGAGTGATGAGTGATGCACAATGCAATTGCTCACCACCCGCCGACCGATAACCAAGTAGTGATCACTACCTCCTGGACCACGCCTCCTATTTATACACTGAGCATGACAGCATATGGTATGGAATACTCTGTTGGCCAGTTGGGTTAGCTGTCCTGGCTATGCTCCCTCCCAGCTTCTTGTGCACCTGGCAGAGCATGGGAAGCTGAAAAGTCCTTGACTAGCAGGGTACTTAGCAACAACTAAAAGCATCAGTGTGTTATCAACATTCTCCTCATACTAAATCCAAAACACAGCACTAGGAAGAAATTTAACTCTATCCCAGCTGGAACTAGGACAAGGTGTAACAAAGCAATGACACATTTTGCACAACTGCTTGTTTGGAGTTTCCTAACAGTCACAGATAATGTGCATAACATTAACGTCCTGAAAAGCCACGACCAGCAACATTCTAGATTCCTGAAATAGAAATTGCATTCATCCTCAGCAGAGAGGAGTTTAGCAACATCAAGTTGCACAGGCAGCATATGATAAAATTCCAGTTCTGAGAAACCATTCTGCCTGAAGCAGCATGATCAAAATCCTTTACTTCAAGATCTTTGCCACAGTGCGTTTGAGGGGAAAAAAAAAAAGTATTATGCTGAAACCATAATACTTCAGTTATGTGAAATTCCTGGGCAGCATTAGGTACTCTGTTCATCTCCCATGCTGAGCTCCTTACCCTCTTCTTAAAATAAAACTCACACCCTAATCACCAAGAAAATACTATAACCTCAGTCGTCTTCCTTTAAAGTATAAACACATCCTCTTACCTGTTTGCTCCCCCAGGCCGCTCACGGATACCCAGCAAGGAGCGGATGTTACTTTGCCTACTGGACACCTCTATGAGCTCTGGCCCTTGGATACGTTCTAGGAAAGAATCAGGTCTTTGGTCTTCATGCTGCAAATGTCTTGTGGCCCACGACCTCACAGATACAACAAATCGTGACAGCCTGCATGGAACAGACATACAACATTGACTGAACCAGACAAGAACATCAGATGGCTTAAATCATGCCCACAAAGAGAACCCCAGTAGGATTTTTCTCCACTTCTCCACCTGCCATGAAATTAAACTTGATGGATTAACTGTGTGAACCCAGTCACTTCCCACAATTTCATACATCACCTTTTGCAGTGGATCTGGAAAGTATCTCACAAATCAGTTCCTAGTATCAGTACCGCAGGAGCAACAGAAGAATATTCTTGCCAAGTGGGGGTAAACCAAGTGGTTGGGGTGGGGCAGTTGACTTCTCACAAACTTCTTACATTGTATGATAATGGGGGAATCCTGGACTGACAGAATTAGGAGATATAAAATACTCACAGGATCACATGCTCAAGGGCTGGTATACACAGTGGAAACAAAAGCTGAATACTTGGTGAGGGAGGATGGACTTTGAAATAAAGAATGTTAACAATTCAGCCACTTTCCCTGTGATTGTAAAGGGTCTGTCTGCAGACGTATTAATTGTCTATCACATATAAACCCACCTACTGCACAGGAAGCACTATTTCCTCATCCTAAATTTCTAGCAGAGCACTGAAATGAGATAAGCAAAAAAACATGACAACGTAATTAATTTGTCACTGTATCTTCTTCTCTACCCACTAATTCACATCACAAATCTTTACAATGTTTTCTGTCAAAGTTCAAAAGGAAACATGTTTCTGAAAAATTGAAAATAATGGAGACTGAAATCTAGAAAAGCGATTATATTTATTACCCACGCAATATATTGTATTATTTCCTATCAGCAGTCTAGTTTGGACAAAAGTGGTGTTAATTCAGGTTTCCCAAACTTGGCCTCAAAAACAGCATAACGAAATCCTGAACAATGCTTAACTTCTTACAGAGACCTTGGGCTACTCAAGGAAAGCTCTCTACATTCTCTCTGCATTGGCTAGTATTACATATGCTCAGAATCCACAAAGAGGTGAACAATTTAAATCTTATGGTAAAGTACTCTGCCTGTTGATCGCTGTTCTCAAGGGCCTAACTACATCTCCTCATGGATCTTGCCCAGGTTCTCTTACCGTGAGATAAAAAGGACAAAAAAAGTAGGAATAATATCACATACCAGAAATTAGAGAAAGATATTTCTAGTTTTTTAGTGCTATACCAAGATAGCATCATATAAATCATCTACAATTTCCAACAATTAAGAGAATCCAAAGCCTAAAAGAATGCAAAAGAAAAGAAAAGCTCCACATAAAAGTCTGAGATTATTTAATAGATTCCTCACTCTATTCAAAAAACACTGCATAAAATTAAGCTACAGAATTCTTCTCTTTGCCTGAACAGAACTCAGCTTTACATAAGGAGTGGTATGGAAAACTGCTATTATGGATGTTCTTACTTACATTGGAAAATAAAGCTTTTTGATGAGACCTGTTAGTTAAGGAGCAAACAGATTTTACCAATTAAGATTGAGAGCCTCTCTATTTGAACAAAGAAATAGAATTTTCTGATTTTTGCCATGCTATATTATTTTCATATTTTTGTCCTTTACATCTCAAAGTAAAATACTTGGTGAAGTCTATCAGATGCTGTTGTCTTATGTCCTTGAGAGTTTACATTCAAGAGGCATGTTATGTTACCATAATATTTAAATTGCTAAGCATTCATGTCTTCATCACAGGCCTCCTTGTATATTCAGAGCATAAGTAACTGTAGCTACACACATGTAATTCAAACTATCTTGAAAAAGGGTAAAGAACAATATAAACAAAGACTAAAAAGGAATTTCTCAATATGAGTTTATATTTTTATGTGCTTTATGTTTACACAAAACACACACCTATAAATGTTTTGCACCTAAAACCAACTTCTTGCACCTCAAACCAACTTCTTGCAGACTTTGTAATCTACACGCAGTGGTGTCACTATCTGACAACCAAACAGGGAAATACAAGTTTATTCTGCACCATCCAAAAGGCTGAAGTGTAAACAACACTCTTTAAATGACTCTAGTTTTATAATAATTTTTTTCTTTGCTCTTTGAAATACACTATTCTTAAACTGAGTGTGGTCTGTATTGTGTGTAACAACGGTATCTGAAGACAGAGCTCTGTAGTCTCAGCTGGAAATATTTAAAGCAGACACAGTAAGTTTTTGAAGCTCCACTTCAGGTTGACGTTTAAGTCCCAGTAAAGTAAATGACTTAAGCAAATAGTTGACTTGAATTTTGCTGACTAAGGCTCCCAATCCATTATAAACATAACTTGATTCTAAAAACTGAACTCTTGCACTCCCTCACAAGAGCCCCTGTCTCCTCCCTTGCCAGAACCATCTACCAACAGGGAACAATCGTTATGTCTTGTTTGATAGGAAACAAACATTGCATCAGCTATCAGCCAAAACCAAACACTTATCCATTTACTTTACAGTCCAGCCTCACTTCATGCATTTCCTCAGCGTTCAATATATTTTTAGATCTGATCATGTAAATTTTTTTTTTTTAATTCAGACTAATTTGTGTGAGCTCGTTCAGCATCTCTAGGATTCTAAGGTTTTTATTAGCAATGAGTAAGCAATGAGTTCAGAACGAAGGTCAAAAGCAGCTTCTGTTACTTTTTATAGACTTTTTTCAGCTGGACTCCATCTATTTTCTTTGGAAAGTGATAGTTCTTTTTACTTTGCCTCCAAATTGTGATCAGTCTCTTTCAACAATTTAAACTTAATACTGGAAATGGTATTAGTTAGCACGTTACCTTGCCATTGCTCCCCTGCCTGTGAATGAGCTCGTCTGGGACTCAGATAGATGTCTTCCCTCCACAGAAATGACTCTCTGCAGTTCTGAAGATGCATCCTCACACAGCGAATGGGTTCTGCAAAAGCAAATTTTTTTTAAGAATTCCATACAGCCTCCAGCAGACTTCCCCCCATCTGATTCTTTCCACCACTACATCAGGAAACAACGCAGCAAACTGTCTTCTTCCTAGTAATATGGCATACATTTGACAAACATAGAGCTAAGCCTATACTCCTACTTTTCTGGAGCCATCCAACACGAAATGAAGTCAGTGGAGGCTCTGCCATCCATTCCAGCAAGCTCAGAAGCTGATTCCTTACTGGTCAGTACTACTCTGGTGTGCAGATACACAATTATGGGAAGAATGTTTTCTACTCTAACACCTCATGTAAGGCATCAGCAGCTTTCCTTCAACATAGAGTTTATTCCCACGGGGCTTTAAAGTGACTGCCCACTGTTTTTTTCAGTGTTGCTCTCCTAGACATTGTTTGGGTTTAACAGTCTGGAATTTCTACCAGGTTGGTTCCTTTTTATGACTCAAAGCAAATATGCATCTCTTTTTGCTTTCACTCTTGCTCGGACTGAAAGGGAAAATGGTGGTTTTACAGTAGTTAGCCCTGAAGCAGCACCACTGCTGTTCTTACCAGCCTGTTGCTGCCGCTGCACAACTGCAGGCCTAGTGCTGCTAGCTTTTTAACAGAAACTTCACCTGTTGCATAGCAAAACAGGCTACAGATCTTCAGGGCTGCTCTCGCAGCCATGAGATGAAGCACCTCAGGCTTACTGCCGCACATGGAGAACACTACAACAGCCCTGTTGCACACAACTGCAGACAGTGATTACAACGTTAAGCTACGTTGCAGTGTCTGCCAACTGCCATGAGTTCCCGTAATTGTAAGACTACTTATTAGCACTGAAATAATTAGCATTGAGACAAATAGATGAAATTTTAGCCTCATCTTTCAGTAATGGAGTTTTGAAATTGACTTCACTGGAACTTGGACTTTACCATGGCTCACTCTGGATTTTTTTATAGAACTCCTAGGGTTTTCTCTGTATTTTTCATTCTTTAACATTCACTTTTACAAGACTTTGTCACATCCCTTAAGGATCACTTTTTCCCCCCTTTGTAATGCAAACAAAAACTCTCACTTGAGTCTGTTAATCTGTACTGCCAGGAAAACACTGACTCTAAAGATACTTGCAGTATCTTCATAAGAATTGGCAACAGCATTTTGAATGCCTACAAAAGGATAATTAGCAACTTAATTTTGTGTGTACTCACAGCTGAGAAACTGACAAACAGAGAATTAAGACTTTATTATTTCTACACAAAGAACTATGCAAAAAAAAGATAGGTCCTGCCACTCCCAGAATTCTCAACTTGTTAACTCTTTTCTTCTTCTCTTCTAATAACAAGACACCAATAGACACTGCTTAGTATTGAAAAACTTTTATAACCTAGTTTATGCTGTGGGTGCTGAGAATATTGTGGATGCCAAAGTTAACATGGCTTCTAGGGGAGAATGAACAAACTCATGGAACAGAAATCCATTACGGATTACCAGATACACAGAGCCTGCATTCAGCTCAAGAAGTCTCCTAAGCTGGATGCTGGGAAAGTATTAGGGGAAAGTGTGTTGCATATACTTGCAGTTTGCCTGCTTTTTTTTCTTTTTCCTGGAGCATCTGCCTACAGACCTGCTTTTAGACTGTACTGCTATGGCTGATTTTAAGTCCTTTTATTCCTTTTTATAGAAAAATAGAAATTTTGTGTGATCTTAGACAGCAATATATTCTAACATTGCTACTTCTGTTCTTACTTACCAATTATTACTATTTTTGAGTCCTGAAAATACATTTTTAAAATACAATAGTGGGAGTTCTTAGAAAATAATTTTAAGTGTCACAATTCAGATGTGAAAAAAAATTGTATTTTGCAGAAATAGATAGCCTTTCATGGAGGCTTAAGCCAGTATCTTTTATTTCACATTAGAAGTTTGCATTCAATCAGTGACTCAGGTAATGAGGAGTATCTCACTAAGTTGCAGTAACTCAACTGCTTTCAGTGACTGTACATTAAGTTGTTATATTTGCTCTAAATATAGGTAATTAAATATAAGGGTAACGAAATAAAGTTATGAATAATAATACAGAAAATAAAGTAAACATGGATTAAAATACTTTAGGTATCCTTCCAAGTAGAATTTAAAAAAGAAAAAAGATTGTCAGAGTGCATTCTTTATCAGTCTAAGAAAACACTACACAGAGGTCAGGCCCAGGAAATCAGGCCAATCAGACTTTTTCTGAAGTCTCAGAGGGAGATCTATTTCAATTTTATTAGCCTCCATAAGCATACTGAAATACAATGAACACCATGTGATGTTCTACTTCGATGTAACTGTGCTGGTTTATCAGTGAGAACAAGAGGAGTTGAAAATTGCTCTCCAAAATGTACTGTTAACTATCCTTCTTATTTCTGTTTTGTAAATTTGTTTGAGTCCCAGTCTCTCTTATTACCGATGTTGCTGTGCTTGGGCATCTGCTAACAATAAATGAAAGGCTAAAAATGAAGAGCTCAGCTTTATTTTGAGTAAATGTCTAGGAAGGCAATGCAGAACAGTGCAGAGATAGCTGAGTGAGCTCTAAACAAGCTAGATCAGGTACCAAAAGCAATACTGTCCTACTAGTTCCACTCAATCAGCACAGAGTCATACTTGCTAAGTACATCATCTGTTAAGTGATTCGTGTGCATGATTATCACCTCCATACTCCTCAGCAGTGTGGAAAGCTGTGCTCCAGTGTCCCTACACAGGCTCATCATATTTTGTGCGTCTGTAACATTGAGTTTCACCAACTGTCTGTCCTCTTGCTAGCAGTAGCTACAGGGCACTTAATGGCACCGTCTAAAACCCAATGTTTTGAATCCAAGCTATGGCTTTTGGTGTCTGGAGCCAGAAGTATGTTGAAGAAATGTTTTAATCTAGGTGAAAGAAAACGGCATGCTTAATGTGACCTGAGCTGAACACCTTGCAATTTGATCCAGAGTCCCATAAAACAAATGAAAAATTTCAAATTATTTAAATCACTCTTTGGCCAGATTCTTACCAATAAGTGATCAGACACACTCACTGAAAAATTTGTATTCTGTAGGAAAAAAAAAGGCAAAACTCTCAGACTCAATTGCTGGAATCAAATTGGGTGGATTATGGGCTCAACTAGTGAAGTTTTGAAGTCTATATTTTTATTTTGGTTGCTTGACTGTTTTTAAGAAAAACAATTTTCTGATTACTCTACATGTGCATCAAGAATTTCTACAACTAGGTTTATGTTATAACTAAATATCACAATTTGTAAATAAATTCAGGTATACCTTACAAAAAAGTTATAGATATAACATGTGTGGACAACTCAGGAAAATCAAAATAATTTTGTGGAAACAGTACTAAAGTGCTTGCATTTCACTTTTACAAATACAGCTTATATGTATCTGCAACAGGATCAGAAAACAATACACAAAGGATTGTGTATTGCCAGGCAACTCTTATGTCTGATATTACACAGCAATCACAAACATATTCCACTTTAATTCACACAAATGCAAATCAAAAAGTAAATCTAAAATGAACCCTTCCTTCCATTATTATAACTCCCTATTATAAAACTCATATACTCATTCCTGACTTTCCTCAACCCTGTTCAGATAATACAAGAGGCCTTATTTGTCAGATGGCTTTATATTGATGCAGAAGGACAGTTAGAGATGGGGCTTCTGATGTAACACCTTCAATGCATTGGCATAGTTTTTAGTTTATTTTTACACAGACAGACTCATTCCCACCTGGACTCCATGAGCTTGTGTGGTATCTGCAGCAAAACAGTAACCACTGCCATTACTATCCAAGGGTGTTACACGGTCTGAGATCAACATGAGAAGAGAATACGCAGTGTACCAAGAAATAAAGAGCAGGTTACAAAGCAGAAACATCAGCAGATTATTGTGCCTCCTTGGCTTATGCTGAAAAATATTTTATTTCCACGGGGGTAGCACTGTCACTATATCTTAGAGAAAACTCACTGACACTGAGGTTTCTGCTCCATGTCTCTTCAGCTCTCTAAAGGCCAATTTATTCCCATGCTTTCGAGGTATCTAGCGCAGTAAGCTCTGGGAAGATATTTACATCAGCTCCTGCTTTGTACCTGTCCCTTGCCTTGACTTAATTTGGCTCTAAATTTGCACAAAGATCTTCATCAAACCCTAGAAGACCATTTTCACCTATAATGAAAATAGGTGCAAATAATTCAGAATTTTCATTTAGTAGTAATGGTTTTGAAGTTCGGATCAGTTAAACAGCAATTGCTGAAGCCCTTTTGAGTAATGACTATGAGCCAGACTTCAAGGGCGGGATTTGGCTCCAGATGGCAGTGACCTAAATTAGCGTTTCTAATACAAGCTGAGTATCTAAGTTCCCATTATAGTCAATTGCCATCTCAGGGCTTGATTCAATTGCCTCAATATAGGAGTCTAATACCATTTGGAATACCTCAAAATACTTTATCTGACCTCTCCAGAGCACACAGATCTCACCTCATATGCACTAACCCCAGCTAAATGCTTCAGATACTCTATGGTATCTCAAATAGCTTTAGATGCCTATTTTAGGCAACTAAATATGTCTCATAATGGACACAGCCAAACGAGCCTGAAGAGCTATCCAACTTCAGGGTAAGCTGAACAGTTCCCTAGGCTCCACTGACTATTAGTATTGACTATACCTCCACTGATGACAGCAGGAACTTAGACACCTAGTCACATAAAGACACTGAAATCCAGGCACAGCTGAATCCTATTTCCAACTTTTAGATAGCCAACCTGTGTCTATAAGCTAATGTGCTGCCTGTCCTATTTGAGCTGTTTCTATACAGAGGCTGGATTTTAAAAATGAAGATTCACTTGTTATTTTTTGTTTTAACAAAATGGACCAACTTTATAGCACACTACACTGTAAGAATATGGGCACATGAATCACCTACTCCAGCACAACTGAGAATGACGGTTTAAAGATCATCAGCAGCTTTCTGTTAACTGTTTCAGTGAATGCTTTTCCTTGATAATACCTCATTCCACAGCAGAAAAGCACTTAAGCAAATTCTTAGCATTAAGCATAAATTTAACACCCATTGACTTTAATGAGAACTAAGTAATGTGCTTAATTGCTTTGTTGAACTATAGCCAATAGGAGTTGGAGGAAGATAAATGCAAAGGAGAAATGCTGCTGCTCTAGAAAACCTGTTTTTTTTCCAATGTCTATAGTTGTGTATTTTGCTACAAGACAAAGAAGAGCTAAAATTTTGAATGGGATCTATCTTTTGGTACAGACATATTTTAAAACAAATCTGAATTAAAAAAATGTGTATCAGAATTCTTTGAGTGGTATTACAAAGGTATTGTATATACTTACTAGCAATCACTTCAGCAATCCAAAAACCTCAAATGAGTTCTCTTTTACAGAGTGAGATTGTATCTTTTTACTCATCTATGAACTCCTGTAACTAATGCTGATAACAGCAAACTTTCTTTTAAATAAATGGCTCTTCAAGACCATCATGATCATGATAAAGTGCAATTCATATTTCAGTCCCTCTATCTGTCATAGCAAGTCATTGCCTCTGAAACTGCAGATGACTGCAGTGATTTAATTCTACATTTAAACCTTTATAACCACACTCTCACATCCCTGCCAGTAATTCCATTCTGTGAGCTGCCAATCACTGATATCCTCTACAAAAAGGACGTGAAAAAAAGGAAAGGAAGAAGCTCATTTCTATCTGTTTTTTCCCTGTTTCTGAGATATCACTGTAAATGGAGACAAAGGGACACGGCTCTTGCAAATCTCCCTAAGGAGACCATGGGGTAGTATAACTAAGTCAAGCAAGCCATACTGTGCAGAATAAAAGCAGCTCCATTTTCACTAGTGTAGGTACACCTACATGACAGAAAGTATCATGTAAGCAAAGCAGAAACTAAAAAAGGACCAATTCAAACAGGACAGGGATCACACCCATACTAGGTGCTAGGGGCATGCAATCCAAAATTATCATAACGCAGGCAGTCCTATCAGGATTGTGAGTGCTCTAGTCTGGGTACACATTTGAACAGCAAGAGACAGTCTGACAAGGTCCACATAGCAGAGGTGGTTGACCGTAACAAGCCAAAAGCAGAACACTTTTTCCAGCCTGTACAGGTGCTGTGGATCATCAAACACTTTTCTGTAGGCCCAGCAGGGTTTGCCCAGACTAGGCAAATGACTAGTACTGTGTAAAATGTTAAGTGCAAGCTCACTGGCACATTTTAAACAGCGACTCTAAAACTATCAAAACAGAGAAAGGTGAATGTAAAGAAACTGTTACAGGTCCACTGTACAGTGAGAAGCTCTGAAAAGCCAGTACAAAAATGTTGATATTCTTTATACACTACAAATGTTTCCTATCACAGGAACTAAGCGATTTGCAGAGGCTACTTTTAAAAAAAACTTCCCGAGGCTTTTCACTGCATGGCACTGGGAAGATCCCTTTTCCTCCAAATCCCACAGACTGGGGGAAGCACAGACCCTGCTATCTGCGTGGTGACCTGAGAAAGAGGTTTCTCCTTAATAAATTGATGTAATTCCCACTGATGTGAAAATGGGGTTTATTCCTGAGGTAATACAGATTCTGGTTCCAAAACTGCAAGCCATGACAACCTTCCTGTTGCAGTCTCTTCTGTACATTAGATATGCATTGTTAAGTCATGTAAGTGCACTGGGTCAACAACAGCATGATGTAACACTCCCATAATGCAGAGCTAGAGGAGTGCCACAAATTATGCAGCAATCTGTCCTCTTGACTGTAATGAAAGCAATATATTACCTGATACAGCCATTTTCAATCCTTTCAATATCTTCATCGGTAGTTCTGACAGACAGTCTGTGCATACCAGGGTAGGAGTGCTGGGTGTTGATTTTTGCCATTTTGCTTTACATATCAACATCTAAATGACAGCTGAAACAAGGGAAAAAAACCATTTTGTTAAGGCTGCAAAAGAAATGTGCTCAGTACTTAAAAAGAGCGATTTATTAAAACAATGGAACAGCAAAAAGCAAATTCAACCATTTCAAGAATAGCCAGTGATATTTACACACAGAACATGATACCCATTTCTGGATTTATTTGCACTAGACAGAAAAAAGTGCTAGTAAAAGAGTAACAAAGAAAAGTGTAACCGAAGAAAAGGGTTACATGACACTATATTCTTTTTAGTCTCTGGACCTTCTGAATCCTTACACTGTCATACCTATTATCCATAGTGAAACTGCATTTAAAATCTCATTAAAAGAAGATTACAGTTAGAAAGCCAACCTAAAAAACCTAAGTAATACATGTGCTAGGACAACCCATTCCACTTTAAGTTGATCCCCTTGTGCTAACTTTATCTATTTTATGATGAAATTTTTTATTCTGAAGATGCATATTAATCAAGCAGATAATTAATGAAATGTATCCCTCAGCTTAATATATGCTATGCATTAATTCTGTATTATCTAAACTCTGCACTAAACACATACTACGTTTTTTCCCATTTATTTTCAGATGTCATTTTTGTTATAATGTTTCAAGACAAGCTCTGCTAGGATATTTAGCAGCCCAGCTCCTACAAGATTCAGGAAATTCACCTAAATTCCTTTCCAGATTTGGCCTTCAATGCCTTAGCAACATTAGTAAGTCAAATTTATATCACATCTATCCCTGCTAAACAGGTTTTAAGACTCAAGACAAGTGTCTCTAAAAATGAGGGACTGAAAGACTGTCAGTGAAAGTTTTGAATTTTGAAAATTTTTGTTAAGTTTTGAAACTCCATTCAGGAATCTTTTTGTTTGAGATATGACTAGAATGAAATTCTCTAGGGATCATTCAACTACCTCAGACCATCTACTGTCCCTTTTTTGCCTGTAATCCTCTGTCTCACTGACCATACAACATTCAGCTTTAGCAGCAAATTAAATACAGATCTTACAGAAACTAACATTCTGCCCTGAATTATTCCTGAAGCAAAGCTCACAATCCATGACTAGGTCTATGTTATGCATCCAGTTTCTTAAAAAACAGATACTTGGTTCACCCTCCACTTAACTCCCAGAGAACTAAAGGGAGTCGCATATAACTTTTAAAATTATTTAATATATTTCGAAATATAAAATAGATTAACTTAATTTTTGCATCCAGAAATAATACAATTAGTCTAGAAATAGCCCTAGGGCATCATTTAACACCTGGAAATCTAGTTAGTATTTCCCAGTTCTAATTTTACCTCAGTGCAAGTCAATTGATGTATAACTGTGTCTCATCTTAAACCGGGCCCTGTACATACTGGTTAACTCAAGCTTTACTGGGGAAAAAATGGGCATTTCTATGACACATTGATATAAGGAAAAAAAAGGGATCTTTCAATCCACTCTCAGATTTGAATGTTCACTCAGAATAATTCATTCCTAAAGTGCAGATAATTTATGCTAAAAACATGACTATGTATAAAAATGTTAACTGGAACAGTCTCATAAAAGGAATCGATTTTGTCTGTTCAAAAAACATCTGCCAAATTATTTCTGTGTTTCTGCTAATGTATATCCATTATAAACATCAATGAATATGATTTCTTTTAGAATGATTCAGCCTTTGAGAGACTAACATTGTTATTAATAAATTAACCAGCCAAATGAATAGGTTTCAAAATAGGTATGATGCTAAAAATATCTCATTTCCAGGAAAATTTTTCATAAATCATTTTTTAGTTATAATTACTGCTTCCATTACATACTTTGTTAGACAGAATTAGATAGATGACACGCAATAGTGCTTTGGTGATTAGAACATTTATTTTGCCCTAACAGTGAGTATTAAGGTAACTCCCATTTCTCATATATGAATCAGAATATAATTCAAGGTGAGAAGAAAATGTGGGTTTCCTTCTGTTATTACCGATTTCTTCAAAGTTCAGCTTAGCAAAATCTGCAAAAGTAGCCTACAATTTACACTCTGTCTCACTGCCCAGGTTCCAAGACTTGAAGCTACAATGGGAGGCTGCAAGGCAGCAGCCAGGGTGTGACAGCTGCTTCATTTAGAAACAGAACAGCATGCTGCCAGCTGACAAATTGTTATGCACATATATCAGGTAAGGCACAGTAGCAAGTTGCTTCTTCCTAATAGTTGCTCTTGCTACCTATTTCATTTCCAGTGCTTTGAGCTATACTAAAAACACAAAAGGTAACTTCTAAGAGTAAGGTGGCATGAGCTGCTTAGATTTTACTGCTCCATACAGTCCCTTCTCTCATTTGAAGCTCAGCCAAATAATTTTTTTTTTTTTTAATCAAAATAGAACTCTCTATCACATTGCAGAAGGGAGAGGTAAATTGTCACTCTTCTACTGAACAGCATCATGCATTCCCCATGTACCCCTATTAAACTTCCACTTTATCCTAGTTCAAGGTTTTAAAAGCTCGATGGTGGGAAAAACAGAATGATTCATAAGCTAAGTAACAAAGCATTAACTTTTTTCTAAGGATGTATTTCCAACACAAAGTTAGTACTGAGTTAAGATCTTGACTAGTTCTGCCACCTAACACAACAATAATGCTGTCATTGGTTCTGGTGATTCACAATCAGATTGATGTCTACCTACAGCAGTTCTTAAACAAGGGTCACCTAGTTTATAATCTCCAACAAAATAAGTAACTCTTTTAAAACAACAGAAGTGTGAGATAACAAAAACCTTCTGAAGTCTAGGGATGATGTAGATAATTTGCTACCAACAACATGTAGTATCTCACTGAAAAGACACATTGCCTTTGAACCTGGAGAGCAGTGAACAATGCCTTTCTATATTTCAAATGCTGTAAGTGGATTTCCAGACCTGTCATTTCAGCATCAGTTCCTGCAAGTTTGGTTAAAAACCATTAAGTGCAGTATTTCTTTAAACTTCAAACTCAAATAGCTTCTCCAGATGTTACTGATCTCCTGAATTTAGGTATTACTACTCTGGAATTGGACACTACTAATAGATACTGGAATTAGATATTCATAATATCCCGGAATGGTTTGAGTACGCCAGTGGAGTACTGAATACAGGAAACAGTTGTATACCTTATTCAGACTTCCAAAAGCCATGCCACTAAAGAAACAAAACAAATCATAGGATATGAAACCAAACACTATTTTGGATGAAAAACTAGCTGCTTAGAAGACAGAAAGCAAGAACGGAATTGAACAGTCACCTTCACCACTGCAAAAGTTTAAGAACAATATTCCTCAGGGTTCCATAGGAAAACCTCTCATCAATGATGCTGATGAAAAGAAGGAGCAGTGAGACAAGAAGATCTCAGGATGGCAAAAAGAACTATGGGCAGGAGAAACAAAAGAGGAGTGCAAGGAACTTCAGGGTGACCCCCATCAACTAGATTAATGTCTCAATTTGATGGCTAGTGACGTGCAATGTAGGCAAATAGAAATCAATGAATACTGGTGAAAAGCATGTAAACTACTACCTTACATGTTTCCAAACTAACCGTATGCTCCCAGAAAGGGAACTTGAACACTATATATGTACAGCTCAGTGAAATGCCCTGCTCAATGCAGGGCAGGCTTGCTGACACAATAGCTAACAAGGTGAAGGGATGTATACATGGAAAGTGTTAATGACACAAAGAACATTAAAACTGCTCCATGAAACAACAGTGCAGACTTATCTGCAACACTATTAGTCCTTCTCTTAAACAGAAAGATACTGCAGAATAAAAGCATGGCAAGAATGATCAAGGACACATAAATGAGAGAGAAACAAACACGGGGCTTGCTCACCCTACAAAGGCAAAGAATAAGAAGGTATAAAATAAAAATAGGCAAAATTAGAGCTCATTTCAGAGTCCTTACAATAATTTCAGCTGCAAAAACCAAATTCAATATACAGTGTGGTCTGAACTCTTATTCTGCACTAGACTGGAGCAAAGGAGGAGGGAGCAGCTTAAAACAAGCATGGAGCTATCAGGAGTCAGCCAGCGGGAAAATGCTGCAGAGGTGGAAGACTCCACAAACACCTTTTGCAGGGCCGCAGAGAGACAGCTCCAGCTAGCTGGGATCTACAATCCTAAAACTGCCAGTAAAAGCTGGTGCTTACAAGACAGTTTTAAGAACTGAGTAGAGCTAAGCTTTGTATTTAAAAACACAGTTGTTACACTAGTGTGATGGGTTGGCCTTGGCTGGCTGCCAGACACCCACCCAGCTGCTCTCTCACTCCCCCTCCTCAGCAGTCCAGTGGGAGAAAGTAAGATGAGAAAGCTCAAGGGTCAAGATAAGGACAGGAAGATCACTTACCAACTATCATCATGGGCAAAACAGACTCAAATTGGGGAAAATTAATTTAATTTATTGCCAATTAAAAGAGTTGGATAGTGAGAAACAAAGACAAAAACACTTCCCCCCTCTTTTTTCCCCCAGATTCAACTTCACTCCTACATTCCCAACTCCTCCACCCTGCCCAGCAGCTCAGGGGGTGCGAAATGGGGGCTTGCGGTCGGTCCCTAAAGGTTCCTCTCTGCTGCTCCTTCCTCCTCACACCATTCCCCTGCTCCAGCATGGGTCCTTCCCACAGGCTGCAGTCCTTCACAAAGTGCTCCAGTGTGGATCCACTCCATGGGCTGCAGTCCTTCAGGATAAACCTGCTCCAGTGTGGGTCCTCCATGGGCCACAGTTCCTGTCAGGACAACCTGTTCCTGCACGGCCTCCTCTCCACTGGCTGCAGTCTCCTTCAGGAAATAGCTATTTGCTCCACCGTGGGGTCCTCCACAGTGGACATCTGCTCCAGCATAGTCCTCTCCATGGGCTGCAGGGGAATCCCTGCTCCGGCACCTGGAACAACACCTCCCCTCCTTCTTCTCCGACCTTGCTGCCTGCAGAGCTGTTTTTCACACTTTTCCCCTCACTCCTCACACACTACCTCTGCGGCGTTTTAT